CTCCCCCCCCCGGCCGCTGTTTGCTTCCCGCTGGGTGCAGCCAGAATGGTAGAAAACTCACCTTGCAAATAATCACCCTTCCTAAACCCCCAGAAATCGTCACCTGTGTTCCCTGCTGTCATTAAACCCTTGCTGGCCTTGTCCTTGGGGGTTGTTTTATCGCTGGGGCAGTGGAAACATCAGATAAGTTCTGAGTTTCTTTTCCCCACGAGGTTCCGGATGCCAACACCGGCCTCCTGCCTCCTCGCCGCTTCCAGGAAAACCATCGCCCGGCCCCTTTGCGTGGGCGTTCCTCCCAGCACTCATAAAAAACAACCCCGTCGCCTAAGCCATGGCTGTGGGAAATGCCATGGAAAATCTCCAGGAGGAAATCACCTGCGCCGTCTGCCTGGATTTCCTCCATGATCCAGTCATGCTCCTGGGCTGTGGCCACAATTTCTGCCACCGTTGCCTCGATCGTTGCTCCGCGGATGCCGCCGGGGCCGGTTCCTGCCCCCAATGCCGTTTACCTTTCCCCTGCGGCAGCTTCCGGCCCAACCGGCAACTGGCCAACGTGGTGGCGGCTGTCCGGGAGCTGGCAACGCCGGTGGCGGAGGAGCTTTGCCAGCGGCACCGCCAACCCCTCACCCTTTTTTGTCACCGTGATGGGATCCTTCTCTGCACCTCCTGTGCCAAGCATCGCGCCCACCCCGCCGTGCCCCTCGAAGAGGCTGCCCGCTCGTACAGGATGAGCAAAACCCTGGCTCAAACACCCTCTCCCTGCCTGAGCAATACTAAAAACCCCAATTTCCCTTAAAGCTCAGCCCCCAAAATAGGTGGTTTTAGATGGGGCAAAACTTTTCCCCATCTTTCCAGGGGGAAAAAAAAGCACTGCAAGCATCTGAAAGTCAAAACCGAGCTGAAACGCTGCAATTTGCCGAGCTTTAAGTAAGCAACGGGGTGGGAGGATGGCAGTTTGGGGACCAAAACTCTAAATATCGGGGATTTAAAAGCTCCTGCTCTCACCCAGCGCTGTGAAGGGTTCCTGCGCCGCTTCCAGGTGCGGAGGGGAAATGGGGGTCCCCAAAGGGAGTCCAGACCCAGCTGGGGGTGCAAGGGGGGGGGGGGGACAGGGGCCGGGGGGGTTAAGGG